TAATATTAATATTTACTGCATTGTATTATTTAAATAATAATTTAAAAATATTATTTACAATTGATATAAATAAATTTATACTCAATAAATAATAATTATATTGTTCAAATTTGGAAGAAAAAAAAACTATATACGGTTATTACATTGCGATGATTGATTTATTTAATTAGCCCAATGACAATAATTAATACCTACATAAATAAAATATGAAAAAACTATGTTAATAAACTTCAAGGATTTGTTCGGGTTTTTTTGCGTAAGTGTATATGTAAACTATGCGTAAGTACGATAGAAGGGCACTCTAGCGCGCCGCGCCGCGGCGGCTGAAAAATCGAGTGTACGCGCATATTTAGCAATTAAAAAACAACGGTTAAAATTAAAATAAGCCCTGATTACTCTTCACAATCTTGAAGATGAATGTTTAAACTTCAATTTAGACACTTGGTAACCTCAAAAATAATAATTTACATATGTATTTTCAAGCCTCAAAAATGCGTATTTTCGCGTTTTTCAGACTTTAAATCGCTTATAACTCGAAAACTATCAACTTTAGAGAAAAATGACAAGAGACCTTTTTTGTTTAAAATGACCCAAAAATATCAAAAAAACGTTTTCCAGATTAAAAAAAATATTTTTGAAATTTGTTTAAAAAAATTGTTTAAACAATTTCTGCCCAAAAATTTCGCCCGGCACCCTTCAGATTTGTTTAAAGGAGACATTTTTGAACCGGAATCCGCGAAGAAACTCACAGCCTGGACTAACATACAATACAATAAAATTTACTAACAAAATTCTAGAGTTTCTGTTTTCGTGTTTATAGCAACTTTGCGCTATTTGAAATGACCATGAGGCAATAAAGAAAGCAGCTCAGTTAATTTCACACACCCCAGTTTTTTCCTCGATAAAATTAAAACGTTTATACCGCCTATTTATTGGTAGGTTTGACAACGCCGGCCAGGAGAAAAGTTCTCGTTTGTATGCAGGACCCGAGTCGCGATCCCAAAACTTTGCAAAATTGGTTCGCGATCCAGTTCACTGGAGGAAGAAGTGAAAATGTCAAAGGTAGTGGAAGTGGAAAAGGAAAAGTAGACACTTTCGGATTTAAATTTACGTTTCTTGTTAGAAGTCGTTTTACTTACAAGAAACTAACAAGTTTTGTGGAAATTTATAATCGCAGAACAACAAATTGTAAAATAAATATCAATAAATACTACTGCAGTTAGTTACATTAAGATATTCACTTAATATATTTACCTTTCCTTAAATGAAGGTATAAAAACTATTACCTATAACCTACAAAATTGTGTCTCATAAATCTGTTAAAATATTATTTTCCGCAAATCGCCAGGAAATTTTGACATTCCTGTCAAAATTTCTTGAAGAAAAAGTCAGGACTTCCTTACTGTAACGAAATGTCATTTCCTTACTGTAAGGAAATGATATTTCCGTACAGTTGTTAGTGTTCTACATAAATGATAGAAAATACATTGCTTATAAGGAATTAATTTATATTTTGAAAACATCAAGTCATTGCTGAATACATTTTTAAGATCAATTTGTTATATTTACAGTAATTTGACAGTTAGTACAATTATTGAATATTGGAGGAACACTCTTAGAACTATGAGAAACATTTTGGACAACATGCAGGGTGGAAGTGTCATTTTGTTGAATATTTTGTACTGTGAAAATTTTATTTGCCACCTCAACCTTATTGTTAAGCGATTCTACGATATATCCTTCAGCAACGTTTGATGACTTCCATCCGCCATGCCTCTTTAAACTAGTTATGTCGGCACCAGAGTCAACCAATATTGTTGCAGAAGACCGACGAAAGCAGTACCAGTATATTCTGTCGGATTTACCAAGTTCAAATAAGTAGCAATTATTTTGGGCATTTTTCTAAATTGATGAATTCCTACCACTTGTCTACAACCCTTTCCGCTTTGATATTTAAAGAAAAATCGGTCACTGTTCATATTTTCTGGTCTTAACGAAACATACTTTCGATAAACATTCAAGTAGATCTGATTAATTACAAATGCTCTTGGTTTATTGGTTCTCGAATCAGGTATGCTGATTAAAAGCTTAGATTCTAAGTCTTCTATATCGTGTACAGTCATTCGGACTAACTCATCCATTCTACAGGCCCCAGAAATACCAAATATTACAGCCACCTAAAAAATAAATAAAGCTATAATCTAAATAGAAATTAAAACCTTGTAAATTACCTTAATCATTAAATTTTCTTTATCTGGAGCTTCCTGGATAAATTTTTCAATTTCTTCCTTTGTTAAAATCTTAGATTTCTTTGCCCTATAACCTTGAGCTTGCCGTTTTAATAAAGAACGAAGTTTTAAGTATGTATGAGTATATCTACATTGTGTTTAAGTGCAAGGGTTGACTTCTGCATTGAATAATTGGCCCATAATGTTGAAGATTTCATCTTTAAACAAAGGTCTAGGAAGTATGCCATTACAACAGTTTGTGAGAAAGAACTCGTATTTTTACTCATGCGATTATCCATAAAACGTCTGTATGCATTTTCGTACTTTTCTCTTGATTTCTTTTTCAATAATTCTAATGAAACAGTATTCACTGCCTTAACCAGCTCTGGAGGAGTCCCAGGAATGGAAATTTCATCATCACTTATCATTTTACTTTCGAGAACACCAGCAATTAAATTTATGAGCGTCAAGTTTGACAATTCAACCTCAATACGTTTCCATAGTAACCCAAGTAATTTTATTAGGAATTTCAAAGCACCATTTATTTGGGAACAAAAATATCGCGTTTTTTTTTAAATCAATCAATATCTGTCGAATTTTAAACGATTTGCGGAAAAATAGTATGTTATGGACTTCACAGTCGTCCAGGAATGTTAAGCTTTTCCTACCTGGTAAACAATGTACTATTTTTCACGGTTTTGTTGGTATATGTCGGCCGCTATGCACTCTATACTTCATCTAATTAACATATCGATGCACGTCATCGGCGTCATAGCACGTGACGTCACATGACACCAACACGAAATATTTAGGTGGTAGGTGTGTTCTATTTTAGAATCACTTTACCAAGTACACTGTCATTACAGCCACTAGACATATTTTATTATGTACGCGTAGAAATAATATTTAAAAATTTCTATTAATGTTAACTTAAAGAAATACACAATAATATGTTTCATTTAATTTGTATAAATGCATTATAAAACGTTTTTATGAAGAAAATTTGTTGGGAAAACACTGTAACTGTATATTGTTCTGAAGCTATTATCTTGTGGCATTTTAAATTAATTACTATTTAACTGGGAATAAGCCACAATTAAAGATAAAAATACATTAACTTGTGCTCGATAATAGCCATATTTTCAAAGTTCATTTATTCGAGCATTCAACCTCATTTCATTTAAAAATACATTTATTGACGTTTCAATTTCTACTTTGGAAATCGTTCTCAAAATACAAACAGTAAATTAAACAAATTTTGTTTTTTGTTACATAGTGAAAAATTCTTCTAATAATTTATTTTTTTCTGACTCATTTATATTGACAATTCAGACATACATTATGCATTTTAAAGTAGACGACTTAAAAATAATATTGCCAATATTGTTGAGTTGCGCTCCTGGGACGACTTTACTTATAAGATAGTTCATTCGATTACATGAAATCAACTTTAACTTGAGAATATCCGTCAGAAAAAAATCATAGCATGTAATTCGTCTTTAAAAAGACAAACACATAATATGATGACAGTAAAATTCTCCTGTTAGTGATTCCATAGTAAATTATGAGGGAAAAACCAGGAAAAAAACCTCATAATACTATCCCGACATTGTAAGTATTTGTTCGTGAATTTAGTTTACCTTCAACAAACACCAAAATTCTGATTTTATTTGTTTCGTTATTTAAAAAACATACGTGATGTATCCTCTATATGTTATTGACTTACTAATACTGGTATTTTTTAATAACTTCTTTTTTCAATATTGGTAACCAGAGCCTAGTACATTCTGCCGAGGAATTTATGACACAATTGGCCTCATTTAGCATAATTAAAGCTGCTTCTTTGATTTTTCTTTTTTTACCATCCGTTTCTTTTAGGACTACATTTAAATTATTCCATTGAACCCTATGTTCATTATCTCATGCGTGTTTACATATTTGAGATCTATCAAATTCTCTATTTTTAATATACGATTAATGTTTTTGTTAATTATATATTATATTATATAGTCAAAAATATTTCTTGTTTTGTTTTATTTTTAATTAACTAAAAACAAATTGTTCAATTGCAAAAATGTAGTAGTTAACTATAACTTTCAGAAATAATCTCTAAATGAAATCTTTAGTAAATATCTAAATGAAAAAGTTCATAATGATACTCACTAAATAAAAAGGCAAGATTTTGAAAACATTTTATACATTCTGATTAAAGTAAGATTATCCAGAAATGTTTTCTAAGAAAATTACAGTCCTCTAAAATAGCCAACTGACATCTGCTTGATTCAAATATCTTCAGAATGAGTTTTAAGTGATGTCATCTACTCGTATATAATCAAACATATACCCTATATACCTATATTTAATATACTACTAGTACAAGTAAAGCCATTTGGACGTGTTGTATTTTTCAAATCAGTAGAAAAGGTATCTTATTTTTTTCTATGTGGGTATTTTTTCAGTCATGTCAACTCATTGAATTCCAAGCCTCATTTTTACTTAATTATATACATAAATAAAAAAGTTTATTACTTTTAAGAATCTCACCAAAAAATAATTCTTATCTTTATTTCTTCTAAGTTAATATGCAAATTGTTTTTAAGACACTATTTGTTGTCTAATTTGGCAAATATTGTAATTAAACTGATGTCAGTACAGAACAGCAAGCAAGAAGCTTTTCTTTTATGAAAACATTCTGTCGAGACGCCTTACTGTCTCTGTCAAGTGCATTTTATATATATTTTTTATAAATATTCACGAAAACTAATATCTTACCTTCTGTAGGATCCAGCCTTTTCGCTCGTCGTCCGTGTTTTGAATTATTATGTACAAACATATTGTCAGATATGGCTAAGAGAGGTCCATCCACAGCTACTTGCGTTGATATCACAACCTAAAAATGAGATAAGAAAAGAATTAAAAGTTATGAAGGATAGAAATTGGTATGTGTAAGAATTTTTATTGATTCTACGATAGGATTAAAAATTTCAATTTCATATTTGGACAACTACAAAAAAGAATTTTAAATAGACAGAGTTCAAGAAAGTGAAGATAATATAATAGTGGTCTTCTTCTTCTTTATGTGCCTATTAATCATCAATCATCAATCTGGACCTCGTTTTTCAAATATTTTTCCTTGCAGGATGGCTTGAAGGAGGGCATATCTGGATACCTCTTGGTTCTTATTCATTCTTCTAAGGGCCTCCTCATTTGTGACTCGGTCAGTCCACGGGATCTTAAGTATCCCCCGATATAGCCACATCTCAAATACTTCCAGTTTTCTGCACATAGCTTCGTTGAAGGTTCGATGCAACATCATAAAAAAGGACAGAGAAGACGTAGCATCGCAGCATTCTTGCATTTGTATCAAAAGAGAGGTTGAGACTCTTGATGAATGCCCCCCATCCGATTGAAGGTGGATCTAGCTTTTCCAAAACGTGCTCTAATTTTCTGGTTGTTGGTCCGTTCAGTGATTGAGAAGACTGCTCGATTGTGCAACGACGAACAGATATTCAGCACCAAAACCAAACATCATTTGCGCCAATACATGCCAAATAAACCACACAAGTGAGGTATCAAGCTATTTGTTTTATGTGATACGAGTAGATTTGCTTATCGATTTGAGGTTTATAGTGGTGCTGGTGACAGTGTAATCTTACCGGGCCAGTCTGATGTTGGAACCACATCGAACGTTGTTGTGAGATTGTCACAAACAATTTCAGACTTGGTTCATCACATCTTGTATTTCGATAATTTTTATACATCGTTGCCTTTGTTGGTATTATTGCGATCTCGAGATATATATAGTTTGAGCACCATACGAGTTTCTCGTATTCCAAATTGCAAGATTCCGGTCGATAAAGATGTAAAAGATGAGCTACGCGGCTATTCATGTGAATTTGTAGGCTCTGCATTTAGTGTGAACATCAATACTCTCTTATGGAAAGATAATAAGTCAGTGCGATTGGCATCAACGTATGTTGGAATTGAACCATTCGCCAGATCCAACGAAATCCAACCAGACATCCAGCGAAAGCAGCTAGCTACGACCGAAAGGCTAAAGCATATTTGGAATTTGATTGTTCCCATATTATAAGAGAATATAATAGTCACATGGACGGCGTGGATTTGGTCGACGGACTTATGGGCCGGTATCATATTAGAGCAAAATCACACGATGTAATCATCCGATTGTTTCGCCATTTCATTGACATGGCCGTAACTAATGCATACATACTGCATAAACGGATCCACGCGGAAAAGGTCAACTACTCAAGTAATGTCTCGGCCAAAGAACGGGTATTGCAATTACCACAATTTCGTGGAGCAGTTGACGCTTCTCTAGTAGCCTACCAAGAAAACGGCCCGCTGGTCGTCCAAAACCATCAACATCGCGAACATCAACTTCCTTAGATCTACAGCCAGGCAGCTCGAGCGTTGGTCAAAAGTCGAAACATTCACTTCCTAAAGTTCGTTACGACGGTCAAGATATTTCTCAATCTGACTCGGCAAAAAAGGTGGAAAGAGATGGTGCAAATTGAGCAAGAACACGCAGTGTGTTTGCTCAAAATGCGATCTCCATTTATGCTGTTCCAACGCGAAAAATTGTTTTTCCGATTACCACGCTAAAAAATAATTAATTTTATTTATCTTTTGTCATTCATCTTTATCCATTGATTATATAGTTCTTTTATCCCTTAATAAAAAACATTTTTTATTGGTAATTCTACCTTACTTTTGTCTTGTATATGTGCTCTTATATTCGGCTAAACTGTCATTCATGCCCTGAGGCACTGTTTTACCTTTTGTCCACCTTATATATCTGGAAATGAACAAGCCACCCCTGGATAATTTTTTTGGGTGTGTACACCCTAATTATACTAGAATAAAAATTTATATTCTTTTTTTTTCACGTTGAGACTTTTCACTGTTAGAGGGTTAAGATAAAAATCTTATTTTTCTATTTTAATTAAAGCGAAGTGTCCGCTTTGATGTGTTCGCTTTTAAATAATTTACTGTAAATTTACTTTAAGGTTCTTTAAAATTTATATTTGTAAAATTCATTTCATTTACAAACTATTACCTAAGAAGCTTTTCCGTTCAGTTTGCATCATTTTCATCACTTCCTTAACATCCCCTCCTTCGTAGAAATGTACGTAAAGCAATCCCTCTCACCCCATGTACATACAAACTTTGTTAAAATGTTCAGAGTTCCGAACATCTTCTACAAATTACTCCGAATCGTCTACGGCCCGAGAAATGTTTACAGAGTCAAACTGGATAAAATAGTGTACCGTAAAACGAGCATAGAATGGTTTTTCTTTTAGAACATGAAATTTTAAATTTATTGAAATTATCTTCAATGTGGCTGCTGGAGAACTACGAGGAGGATAAATATTTTAAATATGGAGTTATTTGATGGTAAGCCATCAAAACGGCTAGGACTAAAAACGAAATTAGCAGATTTAAGAAAAATGCTCTGAATGTTTAATTAATTATTAAGAAAGGGACTAATCTGCAAACTACTCCGTGGCATCCCGTGTCAAAATGTATTTATTTGATAGTTTTTGATTAACTCATGGATAGCATACTCACGGACAGACCTTTTTGGCACCCTTACTGTTTAATTTATACATCGCGGACTTACCTGGGACAACTTCGCAGAAATTTGGCTACGCTGATGACTATTGCATCAGCACATAATAACATGGGTATTACAAAAAAAAAAATACTAACGGCAGACTAACTTTTGCAAATAAAGCTACAGCCCAATTCAACGAAAACCGAACTGTGCTATTTTCATCTGAATAATGCCCAAGCCAATAAAAAACTCTACGTCCACTTCGAAAACAGACTGCTTACTCATAACTCAACATCAAAATATCTTAGAGTGACTTTGAACAAAACATTAAGTTTCAAAGAACTCCTACAAAGAACGACAGCAAAACTGAAAACACGAAATGATATAGTCCAAAAGCTAGGCGGCATCATATTATGGTCTTCAACCTCCGTACTCACATCATCCGCTTTTGGACTTATATATCCGGCGGCTAAATATGCTTCCCTGGTATGGCTCAATAGCAAACACACGAAGATTATTAACACCTCATTAATCCAGACAATGCGAATGATATCAGGTACAGGTGTGGGTACAGACACTCACAACGAAATATTGACTTTCCATTTTGAATCACATTTCACCGCCGAAACTGCGAAGAAGTCATTCTCTTCTCACAGAATAACGAGAAATCGAGGCTAACCATCAACTACTCATCCACCATGATAAGCTTGATTCTTGATATCGAAATAAACAGACTGCGCTCCAGATAACCCCCATTGCTAAGAGCCAATCTTTACATTAGGAACATTTTGGCCTTACCAACTCTTGTAAAAGACAATGGGAGAGCGACTCACTACCGGAAGCACACGAAATGACCTGTGTCTATTGGAAACCGCCAGGCTTTGAACTGACCCGCAATATATGAACAACTCTAAACAGAATAGTTTTTTAAGAAGCGAAGCTTCAAATTTTGCAACTTGCAACCTTAATGTCCTAAGAAGCCGTTTCAGAACATAATTGGCAATGTGAGAAGTAGTTTTTTGTGTGGCAGAAACTCTTAAGTCCAATGTAAGTCCACTTTCCAACCCCGGAAACTCTTTTAAAGTGTATTTTAGTGAAGTCCAGGTAACTTTTTTTGTTTGAAATTTTAAAGTAAAAATTGACATTTTTTTTATTAATAATTGCTTTCATAACAATTTCAAAAATATTTGTAATAATTAAAATTGTAAATCTTAGGGCATGGCTTAGCTGTCATTTTAATTGTTCTCCGTTTTAAGATTTAGTTTTAAAATATGACAGCTAGCTTTATTATTTTTGACATATGATAAATATCCGGTCATATTTGAGATTTTGTTTTGGTTTTTTTTTAGAAAAAGGTTAACCACTATGCATAGTTTTATTTAAGAAGAAAATTTTTTATTTGTAATAATTTATTTCTGCTACAAATTATAGTCCAGTAATAATTGTATATATAGTAAGTGTCTCTTTGTTATTTTGTGTTCACTTTTGTAACTATTAATATAGCATTTTTGTATTATCTATATTTCTAACTGTTTGTGGTAAGACAACAATAAATATTTAATTTTTTTTTCTAAACCATTTTGTTTATTTATTTAAAAAAAAGTTCCTAATCTGTTTTTGTGTTTTTTAGAACGGAAGAACCTTTTCTTTCATCTAGCAGGAAGTTTTTCGAAGCGGCGTCCGTATTTTAAATAGCTAGAGGACCTTCTTGTATTTTGTTTGTTCATTTGTCCAGGATATTCATGTAAGTACCTTTTTTTTGTTTAAAAAATCCACAAGCAAAATAATTCCTGCAGCTGGCTGTATACCACGTATCACAAAAAAGAGGTTAGATCTTTGTAAATGGGTATGTTTTAAAACCCTTAAAAGGGGTACATCAATTACACGAACGTTTTCGAGATAAAAATTCCATCATCAGGTTTAAAATACCTAAAATAAGTATAAACCATTTAGTTAAAGCAAACGTGGTTTAAAATTTTGACTAAGGTTAAAAAAGACCAAATATGGTTATATTTACAAATTAAAATACCTGAGCCACCAAAATATCAGGGTAAAAACCCTTTAAATTACATATGGTTACTAAAGATTGTACATAATGTTGTTAATCACATTTGATGTTTGATATTAAATTAAATTTAACTTCAGGTAACATACACCCATGTTTTAGGTGAGTTCCAGTGGCCGGAGAGTAAACCTCTTCAAACGGGCTCTAGCTGGTAACTGATTGACAATATACTTATATCTTATGATCGGTGTTGAAAACAAAATGTCAATGCACCATGAAACAATGTTAATTATACATAGTATTACTA